GCCGATGTACTATATGTCTTTTTTTTTCCTCATCAATTTATGTTCTTTTTTTATTTGATTGAGTGTTAAAATTTTTAAAGATCGATCGTTATTTTTTTCACACAGTCGATGATTTATTTTACTCTCACACTATACTACTCAATCTTAGTTTTTTTTAAAAAAAAATTCACTATTACTTTTTACTTATTTTTTTTAAAATTTTTACTCTTATTATTTAAAATTTATTTCTTCAATTATTCGTTTCTAAAAAAAAGAACTTGTTCAAGTGATCGGTACCACACGATGGTTACTGTTCATACCGTTTATTCGAACAAGTAAAACCACCACGCGTTTTAGTTTATAAGTAATAATGCACAAACAAAAATGGTAGGAATAATATGGGTTTTCTTGTTTTCTTTTCTTTTGAGAAAACTTCTTAAGAATACTATTGTTTTGAATAATGAAAACTTTCTTTTTACTAAATACACGTTAATTTTAGAAAATGACCACAGTAGTTAATTAGTTATTTCTATTCATTGTATAGTTAAATTAATATGATTTTATAGTCATTAACATAATTAATGAGGTTTCTAAAAATAATATATATATATATATATATAGGAATACGTTTAAAACACTCTTTTGTCAAAGAACACGATATTGGAAGGGGAAAAAAAGAATTTGTGGAAGTTATAAGCTGATTATTGTCTATTGAATGAAAAAGAAAGTGCTTGGACTAAGCATTCTTAGTTGATCGATCTTTCTTTTTGTCAATTGACCTTTAACTTTAGTCAGCAATTTTTTCCATTAGGAGCTTGAAGATAGAAATGGTCAGCCGAACTTTATTTTCCATCAACCATTTGGTTGATTGAAGCTTGGATGATTGATTCTTAATTTTATGCAATGTTCTTTTTTATTTGTATTTCTTAGATATGTGATTGATGTCCTGATATTTTTTTTAAAAAAAATTATTATATTTACATCCAATTTGATAGGATATCTTAATCTATATTATAAAAGCATTCCATAATATATATATATATATATATGAACATAAAAATCAAAGAATGATTGATAGAAATCTATATATTCATTTTATGCACAAAGAATGATTGACATAAAAAACAACATAGGATGTATTATAGTTGTTAAGTTGTGCATGTTAATATGAACACAATCTATAATTTAATATACTATGCAGAATTTGTATAATAATCTTGTTATAAAATATTGGGTTTGATATATATGTCTTTATTGTCTTTTTATTATAACTCTAACTGTCAAAACTATAAATACAAATATTATTTTTTATATTTATAATTGATTGAAAAATTTAACAAAAACAACATTTAATACAATTATAGAATAGACATATCGTCAAATCACATAAATCGTACGCTATCTTTCTATTTTAATTTTTGTTTGATTCGTTTACTGAGCATGTCCTTTGTGTTTTTCCTTTAAAACTTTTTTTTTCTTTTTATGTTTATGTGGTCCTAATTTTTATATCCTTCAAACTTCTCTCTTTTAATCCTGTGGTCTTAATCAATCAGGTTGAAAATGGCACAAGATTCTATAAACACTCACTTCAATTAAAAAAAAAAAGAAAGAAAATTAAATTCACATTTGTATTTAGGTAAGTGTGCATGTGGATGGCACGATGAAAAAGCCAAAAGCAATTGTCCATTAAATATAGTAGATAAGAATGTGAGAAAAATTGTCCCGACCTTTTGTTTTTAAAAAAGATCTTTGGTCACATTTCAAGATTCGAATGGTCGACTTGGCCTTGGATTTTTGTGATAAGAATGTGAGGAACAATTTTGATTATAGAAGATAAGGTCAAAGAAAAACCCACGTTCTACATGCTCTGTATAAATATTTGTGCAACCTGTCCCGATAAACCAAACAAGCCCTAGCCGCTTCATTTGTTTTCTCTCGATCATTCAAGGTTTTAAAACTAAAAGTTAGGGCATGCATCGTCATAAAACAAATACATAAAAGAGAGAGAGAGGGAGAGGATAGTTATAATATACATGAATCTCTCCCTCAACTTTTTAATTTTTATATTGTGCATGTGATTTAATATTAAATATTTTAAGTGTTAGGTTTAAAAGTAGATGGTTTTGTTTTTCATGCTACTCCTTCTATCCTTCTCTAAGAATTTTTTTTTATTTTCGATTTACATATGTCTTAAAAATTATTTATTTAATCAAAATTTTAAATAATATATTTTTTAAAAAATATCCTTAATTGATAAAGAAAATCTATTACTTCTTCCGTTTTGTTCTTTACTGACAAAAAATTATTATTCTTTATTTTTTTCTTATACATATAAATATTTTTGACAAAAAAAATTTATTGTTATATGAAAAATATTCGTTCTTATAAAAGTTTTGCTGCATGATGAAATTTTCAAAATAAAATATTTTTATTAGTATGTTATTTTTTCATATACCTTAAACTTGATTGTTAATTAACTTAATGGTTTTTTTTATTTACCACCTTAATTTTGGATAGATTTAATTTTTAAATTAATATTAGTTCATGTAATGGAGGATTAAATTTTAAAAAATTTTAACAAAAAAGTATTTTAGAAAAATATGAATAAAAAATATTAATATAACATAATAATTAATAATTTTTAAAATTGTGTAAAAAGTCAAATGTGACTGTATTTGGAACAGAAAGAATATTATTTTAGGATTGAATTCAAGAAAAAATTATGAAAAAATAAATTTAATATGTTTTATATCCGATTAAAAAGAATATTAAGTTTGTAATCATGTCAATGCTTAAATAAAATATTATGTCACATGGAACAGTGCCAAATAACTTTACCGAATATTAAGTTTGCAATCATGTCAATGCTTAAATAAAATATTATGTCATATGGAACCGCGCCGAACAACTTTGCCGAATAAAAGTTAATATTTATATATACCTATTTTTTATTTTTGGCGCTTTAGCCTTAAAATCTCATCAGAAGTTATATTCAATTATAAAATTGACTTGATTAAGAATTTAAAAATAAATTAAAAAATATCTTATTCATAAAGATAAATTGACATGTTAATCTTTTAATAGTTGCATGCGTATGCCAACAAGAAAAGTGTGTATATATATATATATATATATATATATATATATGCACGCGCGCGTGCGCGTGTAGGGTAGTAAATTGATTCGGCCTTTGGTCCGCGTGAAGGGAGATTGACAAAACCAAGGTTTTAATACAGTGGGAACTTGGAAGAGGTGCAAAGATTACAGCTACCTGCTAATTTATTAATAATAATATTATTAGTTTGTTTGATAAATACCCAAATCGCAACGATTTATCTCAGCTTATCACTCCTTTTTGTAGCCCAATACTCTCTGATTGGAGGAAAGCAGGTGATTTATGCTAATTTAGGTCTACCTTTCTCGATTTAAAAATACATCATATTGGATTTTCCCAGCATTTTTGGTTGGATTAATGGATCATTATGGTCCATTACTTTTCTATATTTAATTATGTAATCTTCAAAATTATAATATAATGGATGGTTACGATTTTATTAACAATCCCTCCCTGTTTGTGCCCACCAATTACAATTCTTGTATTGTCACGCGGAATTAAAGAAGCAGGAGGCCAGTTGCATCTATGAACAACCCAAACAAAAGCTCAAAAAGGGCCTAGATAGAACGAGCCTGAGGTTAAAGGGCCTGAAAAACAAAACAAGATATATTGGCCCAGCCCACATACGAGTTTTGGTGAAACCCATTATTAGATTTTGTCTTCCTTCTTTCCTTCCGTTCAAATTTTCTCCTCGCCAACAATTTGTAAAATGTTGTTGAAGGATAATTGCTGAAGAAACATTAATTTAGCTGGTGATCACTACACTTATTTAGTTCAACATAATAGACTCCACTGGAATCCTACAAGCTTTAGAAAAGAGCAATGTTTTTATCACAACGAGGAGGTGTCTTCGTTTTCTTTGACACTATCCTTTGCATGGCATGCCTCTCTGTTGAAACTATGATTAGATGAAACAGTTGGATGATTGTCGTAAATGATCATGCTTGTGTTTTGACATGGAATTACTCGTAAATTGCTTTCAATCACTCCCAAGTCCCAAACACAGCTTTATTTCTTATCCTGAAATGATTAAACTTTTAACAATCCTGCTCTGTTTATGTTTAATATATGTTAATTGTTATCACATGACAAGAAATGAAAGCCTTAGACCAACAAACCTATCTGGTCTAGATCACGCAGTACTGTCCTGCCCTAGCCTATCCTATCTGTTCTATATATATATGTATATATTGGCCCTCTAGCTATGTCAATTGCCATTTGAAGATTTTTACCGAAACATTTACGGCAAAAATCTAAGTAGAATAGCAAGACGAGGCCCAGCTATTTTTGCATTGCCGCTATCCTTTGCATAACATGCCTCTCTCAGGGATGAAAACTATCCACAACTTTTAAGTCTTATAGAAACCTTTTTTATTTTTTTAACTACTGGAAATCTCTCCTAGACATAGAAGAATCTCAGTACAACAGCATGAGCTCGTATGCTAGTCACTGGAAAGGGATTTATGCTCACACATGCTTATCTTACATATTCACTTCATATATTTTATGCCTATGGCAATCAGTTAGTGTTGGCTTGGAAGTTCAATAGAAGGTAGATGGATTTTGTATCCTTCATCAAAAGGCTCAAAGCATAGAGGTCAGGTTCCATTAGCGTGCTTAAATTTGGCACTATTAAACTTTTGGAGAGATACTGAAGACTCTAATGTTTCACAACTTGTAGACATTTGTACCTATTTAGTCAGACATCAAAAGAAAAAAAATCCTCTGCACACGGGGTAATGAAGCAGGGGAAGGGGTAAAAGATACATGAAATGTCATTTAAAAGAAAAGAAGATAAAGCAGTTCCGCAAAATATGAGTTCAGGGAATGTGAAAGAACTTATAATTAAACAACTAAGAAACAGTTGCTAAGCCTATATAATATAAACTCAAAGGACATTCACCAACTAGCAAGCTGTGTTGGCAGTGTCCTTTCCCCTCCCCAGGGTCTCGAGTTTGAGCCCTCGTAGAGGCTCAAAAATATAAATATAAGGACTATGCTTCAGCCTTCAAGAAAGTTCAACAATTTTCCATCGCTTTGTTGAGCATTGTTTTACTATACCTTCAGTTGAATCATTGCTGCCGGACTTGCATGTTTTGTTATTATCATTGCCATTGTCCTCGCTATCACTTTCAGTGTCTTCACTGGACTCATCGTCGCTTTCGCTTTCCTCACTTGTGTCTTCTGATTCTGATTCACTGCTGCTAGCATCCAAAGAAATCAACGGTTGACCACCACCTATTGCAGATTCAGCAGCAGCTACAGCTTCAGGGGTATGAAGATCGGCTACACCCAGCATCAAATCCTGTAATCAAGACATAAAAACAACTAAGTAGTAAGCCCTGGAAAAACCATGAGCAGCAACAATTTAAGGATGGAAGATAGCAAGCAACTGTCAATTACCATTTCAACAACTTCAGATTCATTTCCAGTTAGCGCTTCAATGTCATATTTCTCAGAATTATCCTACATTTTAACAGAGAAGTAAAATATAAATTAAAATAATTATGGTTGACATTTCAAAAGAAGAAGGAAAATCCGCTCATCACAAGTAAACATACCTTCGCATCTTCCTGCAACCGTTTATTGGCTTCTGATATGACTCCTATGAAATCTCTCACTTTCCCTAGAACTGTGGCATAGTGAAGCTGTTAGCTAACATCGTTAAAATAATATTAGGGTTTCATTTCTGCATTCTATTGTCTCTAGGACATCATATCAAAAAGCGTCAAACAACCAATTCTAATAGAGAAAATAATTAATTTCAGCACTTCATGAAATCAAACCAGAATTATGAGTTTGGCATCACACATATGTTCTTTCAGCAATGCCCATCCTCCACTAATTTTGATAAACAATTTAGAAAGTGAAAGCAGAGACCAAAACCAAAGACAGTACAGTGTCTGCTGGTGGGCCTGCCAAACAGTATTATCCTCCTATTCCATCAACAAACACCCAGACAACTCTTACTGCAAATAACCTCACAACTCTTATAGAATGTCTAGCATAATGGTCCATGACCATTATAAAGACCTTGAAGGTAGCAAGAATTATTTATGACAGGAATTACGTTCAATATCACATGAAAGAATGAGATAGCAAACAAATAAGAGAAAAATAACCCAAAGATAATCAGCCAAATGTCAAATCAGTCACCGAAAAATTTAAGCAAGCCATTATCCAGCCAGCAAACAAATTTCCAAATATCTAACTCAATAATCGCGATGATAAAACTAAAAAAGCGGTCATTAAGAAAGTTGGAGAGCTAGGTTCACATTGATTTTGATTGTTTCTCTTCCTTCTGTGCAACATCAATTCATAACACTAGCAGAATATCTACAGGATTCCCTTGGTTAAGCGTGAACATTGTAGAAGACGAACAAATAATTAGACCATCTTTCACGGATAAGAGCACCACAGGCCCATCTTTAACCGAGATGAAGCAATAGCCAGCAATTCATATAGAAAAACAAACACATACAACTCCAATCTGAAGCTTTGGATATCATGCTAAAGGCAAAAGAAATGAATATATATATATATATATATATATTTGCCAATCCTCCTCCTAAACCACCAAATTGTGAAACTTTAGAAACTCAGATCCTTCTCCTGTAAGGGTCTCGCAAGTAGATAAACAAAAGAAACTAAACTGACGCCCATATTAGAGAACATGACCAATTACATAAACACATATAATGCAAAGTTGCATGTGCTTATCCATCTCATTTAACATTGAAGTACCATTTTTTAGTTAACTGCAGATTCACGTCTGACCACAACCTTATGTTTTGCTATTCTCTCATTCCATTAAAAGAACTTTTCCCTTTACATAGATAATCACTACAAAAAGAAAAAAAAAGTAACAAAATTACAATACCCTATTTGTGTTAATTCCATTATATGGTAAAACAGATTATTAATTACATCATTTTCTAAAAAGCCTACAATTCACCACATGAATTCGGTTTTCAACACAAATATCACAACATATTATAAATAGAATAATAAGAAAAATAAGATTTGTAGTAACCCAAATAAAAGATCAAACTTTGCAAAAAAACCAAATACAGAATTGAATCAAATACCTTGACTTCGAGGAACTATAGCGGTTAAGGGCTTTCCATCTGCTGGGGGCTTCTTGGGTCCAGCATCTTTATCACATACACAAAGTATAGACTCTGCACACACCATTACTTAAACATATTTGCCTCTTCTAGTTAATAAGAAGAAAGGGACAATAGTTAGACGTAGAGGGTTACCAAGGGATGATGGTGTAGAGAAATACTTGTTCTCCAAATGCAAAAGGTCTTTCCTTGAAGAACCCATCTCTGTTTAAGAACTGTGACAGCGAAGAAGAAAAGCTCAGTACAAACAGTAAGGTTTTGTTGCAGAGAAGACAAAGCAGAAAGTTTTTGTCGGGGTCTGTAGATAGACCAAAATTTCAGTTCAGAACATCATACATGTCACCAAAGACATTCAGAACTCCGGTAATTAACTCCCCAAACTCAGCAGAAAACTCACACAAAAGGACCCTTAATCTAACTACTACACTTTAACAGACCTGATTAACATGTGATTGGACAAGAGACTCCACGCAGAGCCCATTTAAAACCTCTCTTCATTCACAAACCACAAAAAAAGGGAAAAAAAAAATCAAATCCACGATATGACCCCTCTTATTCAAACAACCTAAATCCCCAAAGCCCCATCTTTATGCATATGAAACTCCAATATCAAACAAAAACTGAATCAAGAGAAGTATAAAAAGAATTCAGCATTAGCTACTAATCCTTCTAACAGACACACTGGCAGGCAAAATTTTTTTTTAAAAAAAATAGGTTTGTTTTGTGCGAAACCACGCCCACACAACCATAGACATGCTAAAAAACAACAATACGAAGACAGAAAATTTTATACCTTTGCAGGTCTCGGTTGGCTTAGACCCAAAAACAAAAACTGGGTAGCTTTCCCTTTTGCTTGAAAAGCTTCTGTGCTAGAGCTACCTTTGATTTCTTCTCTTGCTCCCTGTCTTCTTGGAGCTGCTCCCAAACCTCAGATTTCTCCTCCTCTTTCTAAAAGACTAAACCCTTTTGGGTCGAATCGGCTTTCGGCTGGATTCCTAGGTTTTGGGCCTCAAGCTCGTGTACACACTTTTTGTGGCGTTCCTATTTTATTATACTAAAATATAATGGTAGAACAAAAAAATAAAAAAAAATGGTTTTATCGATATTTAATAATTAATAGTCTTGTTATTTTGGTTCGTCTGAAAAAAAAAAGAAAAAAAAAGAGGAGTGTTGTTATTGTTTATTTTCGTTGAAGCATAGGGTTTTTAAAAAGCATTCAAGAAAATTATGTGAAATATAGTTTTTCACTTTTAAAAAATAGTTATTGTTTGGTTTTTATTTTTCAAGAAATTTTCGTAGATTTTTTTTTAACTTTAACTTTCTTACTCCATGTAAGATTAAGAACATTTTCATAATGAAAAATATATCTAAGTAAATTTGGATAAAAGGTTTTAAGAAGTGACATATTAGATAACAAGTTATTATACCAAACATTAATTACACAAACATATATAATTTAATGGTTATGCTTGCAATAATTTTCTTTAATGAAATATCAATAGTTCAAATCTTTTTAATTATTATGTAATGAAAAAAAAAATACTCTTATTATAAAGCTCAAGCTCTCGATGAACAAAGTAGAAAAGGTATAGATTAACATCATTAAAAATGAAAAGGCATATTAGAAAATCATATAATTACAGAGAGAAAGGTTTTTTTGGTGCTCAACATTTGATTTTTTTTTCCTTTTTGAGGCTTAACTATTGATTTTTAATGAGTTACTACCCTAACTTTGATTTTTTATTTGTTTTGGTTCATGATTTCACTTTAAGTTCAATTTTGCTTAAGTGTTCAACGAGAGCCGCCACGTGATAATCAACTCTAGACACATCAACTCCTCTTAATCTAAGATAACTATGGACACTCAAATAGGAAAAAAAAAATCAAAAGTTAGACATTGAAATGAAAAAAAATAAAATAAAAGTTAGGCACCCGAATAGAAAAAAAATAAAATCAATGGCTGGACACCGAAAATGTAATTTTCTCATGAAATTTATTTAAGTTTTCTCACACCAAATGTCTATCCCCTTCTTGTACTTTGATCTATCTTTTTTTTTTTAATTATAAATAGATTTTATACATATCTTGTGCTTCCATAATCTCTTAAAACTTTTTTTTTAGATATTGAAAGTCATATAATTTTAAATTTCAAGAACATCAACAAATGCACGCATGTATATTTTCTTGTTATTATACTAATTGCACAAGCAATTTTAAAAATGCATTCACTTTTTAGCTTAATGCTATGAAAAAATTATAACAATAATAGAGTTGAAGAGAAAGATGATAGAAAAATGAATTAATTATAAGATAAAATGAATACGAGATATAACAAATCTAAATAATCTCTCAATCTGTACAAAATACTTATAAAAAAACTATTGAATAATCAAACTTATTTATAGGCTTCAAGATTAGGAAGAAAGTTGGAAGAGACTATCAATCATTAAAAGATGCATAAATAATTGAATAAATTGCATCACCCTTTTAATTTCTTCTATTGAATGGTGAATTAAATTACATAAATAGTGAGAATATGAAATAGACATTCATTATTTCATAACACTCCCCTTGAATGTCCATTGTATAATAGATATGCATCGTTAAAACTTTACGAGGAAAAAACCCGATACAAAAAAATCATAGTAAAGGAAAAAGAGTATAATATTTCTTGTACATGTTAATCTCGATCTTGGGCTCCTCCCGTTGAAAACATCATTTTGGCTCTTTAAGACGATGCATTTCAATTTTATGAATCATCTTCTCAAAAGTTGTGGTAAGTAATGCTTTAGTGAACAAATCTGCTAAATTATCACTTGATTGAATTCTTCATTTAATTTAATTATGCAAGCAACATTATCTTCATATGATATAGTTAGAACTTCTTTTCCTTGTAGATAAACTACATGTCTCTCGGATATGATGGATCGTTGATCTTAGCCAAACACATTCTCGACTTGTCTCATGAATTGGTATTTTTGCATGGTTTGAATATTTAACGGCTATAGTTTGCTTCATAGAACATCATGATATAGCTGTACCACTAAGTGTAAACACATAACCCATTTATGATCGAGTTTTGTATAGATCGAATAAATAATTTGCATCTCCATAGTCAATTAAACCTCGGTTTTGACTTATTTAAGTAAAATAAATATCATATCAATTTTTCCTTATAGATAATATAAAAAATGTTTAATTTCATTCCAATGTCACCAGTAGTGGAGCAAAACTTATGTTTTGCTAATCAATTTACGATCAAGGTTATATCGAGTCGAGTATTATTAGTAAGATATATCAACGCACCAATTGCACTAAGATATGATACTTCATGACCAAATAATTCAGTTTTATCTTTTTGAAGTCGAAAAAGAAAGATATCAAGTAAACGAACTACCATTGAACTAATCAATGGATGAGTTTTATGTAGAATCATTGTAGACCTTTTTCTATATAAATTGAGTGATAAATAAAAATATTATTTTTTAAGTGCTCGAACTACAAGTTGAGATAAAAGTTTGCTTTTTCAAGGTACTTCATATCAAATTCTCCTTTTAAATAATTTATGACATTTATAATATCTTTAGGAGTTCCATTAATATTTAAATCATCAACATATATAGCAACTATCATAAAACCCCTTGTCGAATTTCTTTATGAAAATACATGAATAAATATGACTATTTTATAACCTTCTTTCAATGAATATTTATTGAAACAATTATACCACATGCACAAAGGTTAGTAATAAAGAGTAGATATTGAAAAATTAAAATAAATATAAAAAGTATAACATAAATTGAATTTTAAAAAAACTAAAATAATAAAACTAATACTAAAATAATTTCGATAGAAATTTCTACAATTTAATTGAATTCATTTTTTGAGAATATGTATTACATGCTTCGGGCATCTTAAGTTCTTCTAGAACTTTCATATATATATATATATATATATATATATAATAAAAAAGATGTTTGGTATAAGAAGGGAGTGATTCTAGACAGTTTAGATATTATTGACGAAGGGAGGTTGGAGAACAAATTGAGATTCTTGAAATGCAAGTTCGGATTGGATTTACAAAATATCAGCAATAAGTGGTGATGTCTTGTACAAGATCAAGAAAATGTCAAGACTTTAAACACGGTTCGAGCAAAAGTTATAGCTTAGGACAAGATATAAAGGTGTTTTGATTTAATGCAAGTTATTTTGGCATTGGTAGGGAAATATAAGTTGATGCATGGACTTGGACCTCGAGTTCTCGCTTATCCATTCCTTGCCCAATCATTGCTTTCTTGCTTAATTATATAGACAAAGTAGATTTTTAGTCGTGAAGGAAAGCCTCGACTAGATGGTGCAAAAGCAAGATTTGTATTTGGCTAGAAAGATTGTCGAATGTTATGTTTGCGAGATGATCTCTACCCTCATTTATATCCGCGAGCTACTTAATATTCATTCTTGGATACTTGAAATAGTACCAGTTCTACTTAGTTTTTGTGCATAAAATGTGCCTAGCAATCGCAACCCTTCTTATTTAATTTTGATTCCTTAATTTTTCCAAAAAAAAGAATTTTTTTTCCAATAAAACAATGATCCTTACTTAAGTTTTATCGAAACCTATACCTTTCCTTTCACGAACCATGGACAACATGTAAAACCGGGATAACAAGGTCAAATTTCAAAACTTTGGATTATTACATTTGTCATTGTCTTCATTTTTTCTACACATCTAAGAATAAGAAACTAGGGAATGATTTGAACTGGAAAATATGAAATGAGTGAGGAAACTACATGGCGAGGTCAATGTAATGGTGGGAGGTTGAAGACTAATTTTGAACCAAAGATGGACATTAAAGCTTCTTCTTGTGATACTTTCTCTATTTCTAAATACTTTAGAATAGGGTATTTCCTGGGTTTACTTCGGATATCAATCTCTCTTCCTCTCTCATTTCATTGCTCTCTTCTAGATTTCGTTTGAATCTTGAAATTGGATGACAATTTCGGAGACATAAAGCTTTGATTTTTTTCTTCTCTAAAACCAAAATTTTTCTCCCTCAATTGAATGAACTCCTCCCCTATTTTTTTCTATCACTTTACTTTCCCGACCTCCGGATCGATCCCATTCCATCATGACCCTCTATTTCTCTATTTAGGATATGCTCTTTTTATAACACCCCCGACTTAAAAGAGATCAAGAATGCTACCGGTAATGTCTCACAATCATAGGGCAATGAATGCGAGACATTAAACCGCATGTCTTCTACTCGTATAATGTACAACATAATCAAAATCATTTCATTAATCTTTTAAACTTGTTTATACATTAACATTTATCGAGTTTTTAGCATTTAAGTCAAACCAATTATTATAGTACACATTTGGAAAACTTGGTTCACTCAAGACGACATCCTCAATGCCACACATGTCTTCATACATCATTTATCTTACACATCACAAGATAAACTATGAGCTAATGCTTAGTAAGTACAATCATGTATGAATGCAAGAAAATTCATTTTTATGATATTGAAATACATTTATTTATGATTCGGCTCCACCTCGCTGAATGTCTATGTATTGGGCCTTTTATGAAAACCATTCTCATGGAAAAAATAAATGAAAAGCACTAGACATGTTCCTTGTAGAGCTTGTGACGCTCACAACGAGTTGTTCATTCTTTTTGTGTGCCATAATTGAACATGTCTAGTCGTGAACCTTTCTTGAGAACCATGCACTTGTCTTTCTCTTTAATTGTATGAAAACATGATGAAAACGTTTTCATGATGTGGTTGTAATCTAAATGCAAGATCTCAGGTAACACATAACATATATCTAAATATCATCAAGCATAACTTTATCATGGACGTATATCCAAATATTCTCAAATATAACTTCTTAAATCCGAATCCATCACTAAACCTCTTATGTATTCAATCAAACAATAAACACATAGACGTAATATCAAAGGTATTCAATGAAACATGAAATTACCAATTAAACACGTAACCTTAAACTATCAAAATAATACATAATCATATATATTCAATCATTAATTGAGCTCATAAATATTTAATCATCAATTATGTATATGAACATAGCATTTCTAAGACATCTAGGTCTTGCAATGTGGTGGATTATACTTACCTTATGTTTTGACTAGTCTTAAAACTCTAAAGGATTGTCCCTTTTCTTCCTTGTTGTCCTTCTGTCCAAAACGATTAACCATAATTTTTGTATTTTTTTCTTCTATTTTTGTATTTTCATTTTTATGCAAATAAAAAAGCAAGTTCACCTGATTTTTATGTTTGCGTTTCTCTCTCCCTCAATCTCTTTTTCTTTTTGATTGCTGATTTTTTTTTTTTTGATAAAGTAAAGAATAAATTATACTAAAAATCTAAAAATTTAAGTAAGACTAAAACTAATAATAATAACGATAGTAATGATAATAATAAAAATAAACACACAAAAAAAAGTAATAAATATGCACGCATAAAACTTGTAAAAAAAAAATAGAAATAAAATCGTGAAATAAATAAAATAAAAATAAAATCAATAAATAAAAAGGTAGGGAAAATTGTTGGTTATGAGAACAGCAGCTCAGAATCAGAGGAGAAAATTGATGGGATAATGAAAGGAATAGACGACAACCCCTTTTTATTCAACACTAATTCAGCAGCCAGTAAGAAGAGAGGCCCTGCTGATATTGGCCGTGAGTTAGGTAGATTAGCTGCAAAATCCAGGAAAGGATTAATGAGGTGAGGTTGGAATAGGAGTGCAGGAAAGAGAATAAAAATGTGCAATCGCTCCACATGGATGCTAAAATGGGTTCTTGTTAATTGGTTCAGATCCATGGAATAATTTCTGGACGATCTAATTTGCTGCATTTAGAACTGTGCAATTATGGTTTGGTAGCAAGAAATTATGAGTTTAGCAGGGTAGACAAATGCCGACAAATCATGTTCTATCAGTTAATAAGCAAGTATCGCCACTGTAGAGTAGTGGACTAGCTTACGGAGAGTAGAAAATAAGGTAATATTTATTCATATTGGAATTGAAATTGAGCATTGAACATTCATTTAGCACTTAGCATATCACATGTCTCCAGTTCCACAGAATGTGCTGCTCTCCGGGTTTTGCCTTTGGCATTGGAAGATGGGATTTTTTTTTTTTTTTTTATGAGGTGAATTTAGAAAAAGCTTATTTTATCGATTATGCTGACCCTACTCTAAGCTTTTTTTAATGAGAGACCCTTCCCCAGCTTAATTTAGTCTCTGGTAATATCGATTATTTTATTTTATGTCAATGAATTTGATGTTTTAAAACTATCAGGAGCTGACCACAAGCTCTTTGTACCTACTCATCGATACCATTTAAATCTTTATAAACCTATGGCTATGGAATTGGGTGTGTTTAGGAGTAAAAAATAATTAAATGCCTGAGCTTCTCTAATTCACATAGAATTTAAGGCCATCAGTTTTTCGGACGGTATTTGATATGAAATGAATTGGAGTTGAAGCACATCGAGATTAAATTTGTTAATAATGAGTTATTTATTTATTTATTTTTATGCCAGTTTATTTGATCAAGAAAGCCATTTTGGATATGGCTGTTTAATCACTCTGGCTGGAATTCAACTTTTAACAGAGCACTCCTAAAGTGGAGAATCTGAATAATATTTGGCCAATTTCGCCCAATAGTACCATGTAATGTGTTCTGTAATATTCTGACAAAAATACTAGTCAACCGTATTGCTGTCGTTAATGGTCTGTCCAAGTCAAGTCACTTTTTTTTCCTAAAATACACATCAACGATAATTGTATATCTCTATAATTATTTTAAAAATTTCTTTTATTTTTAGTAATTTCTTTTATCTTATTTTCTACTTTTAATTATATAATGTAGGTGTCTATGAACTTTGTTTTATTATTAGTCTCATTTTATCATTTAGTTTTAACAGTGTTTTAATTTATCGCTCTAAAAAAAAAGAAGAGAAAATGAAGCCAAAAAAAAAAAAAGAGGAGGAAATAAATACCAAAAACAATTTGATCAATTTTCCCTCTATCGTTTTATTTTATCTTCATTATCATTTTACCATAAATTCAGGAAACAAAAAAAAAAAATATATATATATATAAAGAAAGAGTTAATCTCACATTCTAAGGATTCAATTGCAATTGATTTGAAAAATACTATGGGCTAATTCATAAATATAAAAATTCTTGGGGATCCATCAAGAAGAAATTAAGAGTTAACTATTAAAATTAAGACTAAAAGGACCATAATAACTTACTAGAGGGATCTAAATGAAAAAAATTGAAATGCAAAAGGATAAAATTACAAGAGATAAATGGTCGATAGGACCAAACTAATAGTTTGGCAACAGACAACCTGTTGTCAGTTGTCTCCTATTTTTAAGGTCCACGTCCTCTCCAACATTTTTTCACAAGACAGAACAAAGGAGCCGACTGCGTTTTCTCTCATTTTCTGTCAGACACACTCTCTCCCACTCACAGCTATTCTTGTGCCCTTTGCCTAGGAAGATTAAACTGTTTTTCGGTTCTATTTTGAACAAATTCAATGCAGTTTTGAACAAATTCGATTCGATTTTCAGTTAATTAAATTAATAAAAATAAAAATAAAATCGAACAGAATTTCAATTCGATTGTTCCGTGAAAAAATCAAAATTTTCTGTTTTGGTTAATTCGGTTAAAACCGATTTTTTTTTTTTGAATTTGAGAATAGGCTTTGGGCCTCTATCCAGAGGCTTTAGGCCTCTCCATACCCTTCAATTAACAGGCCAGAGCCCATGAATGCCAAAAGCTTCTTTTGTTTGGTCTTTTTTCGCTCAGAAACATTAAATTGGAAAGGTTTCTCTCCAAATCATAACTTTGCAGAGTAAAACCCCAGAATAGACTCTCAAGTAAACGAGGTTCAAGAATTTGCAATTTGTCTAATGAAATAAAATACAAGTTGCTGATAGAACAATTATCTGACCCTTTAATATAAAATGAAGCCTAATTTATGGAGAAAAAAGACCTAGAACCCAGGACGGATTCAAGAAAAAGACTAACTTTATGAAACCACAATGATTGATAGCTGACATAAATAATAGTATGAAGAACCATCAAACTCTGTCAAACGTACAAGCATACGAGTGTTATTTTCATTGATGTTGCTGATACACGAGGGTAGGCTTTACATCACTAGTAACCTGTCTATTTTCCAGATGCAATGCAGATAAATAGGGGATTATTTACACAATCAGCACCTGAATGATCATTTAATTATCATCCATCTTTGGGTATCTAATGAAGTAGAAATTAAGTTCTTCAGTATAATAAAACTACAAAGAAAAGAATCAAAACCAGCTATGATTCTCTTCTCATGTCTTTGATCCTATCATCTGCTGCTTCAGAGGCCAAAACTAATGCTCAACTCAACGCTCCTTTTGCATATTCAGAGGTGTATGATCAAATGTTTATTACATCAAGACATATGTGCCTTAAAGTACATGTATTTATATATAAGCTATGCTGCCTTTTGTGTAGTAGTCCAAGAAATTCGTAAAACTAGCTAAACTTAAACGCTACTTCTGCAAGCATGCAGTTCATATTCAAAGTTCATGTATTCATTCTTTGTTCTTATTTTTATGAGAAATGTTCATAATAGAAGTAATGACACGAGCTCTATAAATGGGCAACACCACTGAAGACTTGCAGCATCGCATCTGCACGCACAAACAAAAGAAGACGTAATTTAGACATCAGTATCAGAAAAGTAGTAGTTGCAGCAATTCCCATCTGCAAAAAGACTTGCTACATTTTAATAAGACTCCCAGCTTCCATCTGCACATGGTGATTCTAAAGAAAAAGAAAACCTATTGTATAACAAGACAGCATGAAACAGAGTGCTCAACACCCCATTGGTATCATTTTAAAACCACTCATTTTGATTTCTCCTACCATTCTCACTCTTAAACCTCAAAATTGAACCAAATTCCATTTCCACAAGTAAAATACAAACTAACCTGCCAGACTCTTAAATTTAGAAGAATTCCCTAGTAGTAGCAGGAGAGCAATAAAACAGATGGAGCCTTGCCAAAAAGCACACAAATTAGCAAACGGAATTAGGTTCATCAATTAGAGTACCTTATACAAAACCCATCTCTTCAAATTAAAAAAAAAAAAAAACTAACCTTGTCTTAGAGTAATAAAACATTGGTATCATTATTAAAATCGAATTATACTCACCCCTACATTTATTTCTCCAACATCCAAACAAAAATCCTAAGCCACCTAATGTCTTTCTTCCTTAATCCCCCTGCTACCTACACTAAAACCAAAAACAAAAGGACATTAGACCAAAAAATAAAAGGAGAAGGGAGCTGAAGGAATAAGAAAAATAAAGGCTATGATCATTTCAAGTACAATGGAGGGTGAGGATCAAAGAAAAAAAGACTATGTAATGAGAAGCAATGGAGGTTGGCAAAAAGAGGGGGAAATTTGAGAGAAAAATGGAAGGTTTTTTAAGTTTTCTTTGAAGTATTACTAAGATTAGGGTTCTAGTTCTAAGTTTTGGCTAGCTTAAGGATACTAAAAACTAAGAACTAGAGTGTGTTTTTACTAGTTACGTGAAGAAAAAAACAAAGGAAAAAAAGAGAGAAGAACCCGAGAGTTGGTGCAAAATTTGTAACTTGAGTTTTGACAGAGAAAGCAAGGAAAAGGAAGGCAAGTTGGTCCTTAAATCATCCCTGCGTAGCTTCTATTCAGTTGTTTCCAACAAAAGCTTCGAAAGTTAAAAACTCTCTCATCCATGGTTTATTTTCTCTTTCTAAAAATGTCCTTCTGGGCTGAAAATAGATGAAAAATAATTTCAGAGTAAAACTCATAGCTATGTGAGGAAGAGGGTGAAGTTTTAGAGGTTAAAAAAAAGGTATAAATGTTGCATTTTTTTTTAATTCTTTGTATCTTGTTTCTGTCCAGCAATGAGGAAGAAGAAGATGATTTTTCATTTTTAACTTTTGGTCCCCAAACTTGTGAGATTTATGCGATTATGTCCCTAATTCGAGGTAAAATTGACAAAGTTTTAAATTTAAAGCTAGTTTCGGTCTTTACTCATTTTCATAGTCATGCTTTAAGTATTTTCGTTTGAGATTTTTAGAGCTTGTACGTATGTTTTAAGTTTCACAATTTTTGAATTTTATTAACCATTTATTTGGTATTTATTTAATATTATGCCTTATTTTTTTAATTGTTATTATCGCTTGTTTATGCAATTTAATTATTTAGCCCTCTATTTAGTTTCATTTAAATCTAAAAATTTTAGGGTTTCTTTCATATATTAGTGCTCAACATGCAATTTATGTTTTATAATTTTAAATGTTTATTTACCATTTATTTGTGATTTATTTAATATCATGTCCTATTTTTATTATTAGTGTAGTTTTTTTTATGCATTTAATTATTTAACTTATTGTTTGGTTTTATTTTAATCTTAGATTTTTAGGATTTGTTCACGTGCTGGTTCTTGGCATGTATTTTAAATTTCATAATTTTAGAAATCCATTTACTATTTATTTTCTATTTAATAATTATATTACCTCATTTTAATTATTAGTGTAGATCATTTATGGAATTTAATTATTTGTCCTAGCTTTTAATATCTGATTGATCTGAAATTTTTAAGCTATACTTGTGTTATTTGTATATAGATTGTGTGACAAGTTTTATAATTCTATAATTTTATTTTTTATTTTTTTAGTATTCATTATTATTCTATCATTTACCTTAATTATTATTGCATTTCATTTCAGTAGTTGATTTTTAATTTCAGTGCCTTTTATCATTTTAATTTGAAATTCCTAGGATTTGTATATATGTTTTTCTATGTTTTGTTTCTTAGTTTTTTTTTTTTTTTTACTATTTTGATTGTCATTGTCAGTAATTTACAATTATCATCTACAAGAACAAAAATAATCCCTCTCGATAACTATAACCTGACTTCTTCGTAGAGACATATTTTTTGTTGTGTTTTGTTGAAGATTTACAGGGGGTGAAAGGATGGGTTGAAGATACGAGGGAGAAGAAGATTATGAATTTTTTTATTTTATTTTGATTTGTGTTTGTATTTTAGGATTATTTGGACAACATGTCGTCTAAATAGGAAAAAATTTTTAATTTATAGTCACGTGAAATCTTAAGTGAATTTTAATCCATGCTATCATCCAAATTATCTTAGCACGTCATATTATAACGGAATTTTTTATAAAAAAATCCAATCATGCTAATATAATTATTAAAAACTTTGTTTATATGTTTTTCGTTCACATTTAAAATAACATGTCAAAATGATTAACAATTGTATAGCTCGTTCTGCTATAGTACAATAAGCTTTTGAAAAATAATCGATAATGGTAATAATGTATGAAAAAAAAAAATTACAAAATCCCAGAGGATGCCAGATGTCTTAGAAAATATTAGGTTGATCAAAAAGACTAAATTTAGCATTAAACATATAAAACAATAATAGTATTTTATTCAAATTAAATATTTTGACCAAATTCTAATATTTTCATATATAAAATAAAGAATATTTTGACCAAAGATAAATTAAAAGGTTTGAATCTACTCAAGTAGTATTAATACTATTAAAAAAAATCAAGAAGAAAAAAAATTCTAATATTTAATGATCGAGTACGCCTAAGTTAAATCAAGTTCACACTTGATCTAATTGTCTGGAATTTATCTTTTTTATCATTTACCAAAAATGTTTTTTGAAAAAAACGCAAAAGTCACTCCTTTTCCACAAAACTACCTTTCTTTCTACTTCAGTCATATTCTTCTCTCTCTCGCTTCATTCAACTCTCTCTCTCTCTCTCTCTCTCTCTCTCTCTCTCACATTCATCCTCCAATCAATCTTCTTTCACAAAAGGAGGAAAAAAAAAAACCACCACAACTGCCTCTTTCTCTCTCTGAAAAAACCCAAAAAAAAACACGCACCCTCTCTTCAAATGCTACTGTTCTCTCTTTAGCAGCTCCTCTAAAGTGTTGGTGCTTCACCAAAGAAAAAAGAAGGAGAAGAAGGAGAAAAGAAACCCTAAAACAAAATGGTGTTCAAGAACAAGCTATTTTTCTCATCTTCAAAGAAGTCAGAAACGTCAAGTCCTGATGGATCCAACAACAGTCCAAGATCAACCGGGTCAAATTCACCGATCCGATCCGACAAGAAGAAGGCCACCAAATCTAAAGATTCAACACCCACCACTCCGACTAGTACTGGTAGTTCTAGTAATTTTACTTGCAAGCAAACCCATGTTAAAGATGGGGTCAAAAAGAAAGACTCATTTTTAAAAGGCAAAGAAACTGTGAACCAAACTCAAACTTCTACGAAACCAGGGATTTCAAATTCTGTGGCGGGTTTTAAATCCAAGAAAGGTGGCGTCTTGGTTGATAACAAGGAGAAAGAAGCAGAAAAAACGCCTGTTTCGCCGATTTTAGCATCATCCCTGGGGTTGAATAGGATCAAAACAAGATCAGGGCCATTGCCACAAGAGAGTTTCTTTAGCTTTAGAGGTGATAAAGGGAGTGGTGTATTGGGGTCTAGTAATTTGTCAAGGCGTGGTGGGGATGGAGGGTCAGGTTCGAATTCGAGTTCTTTAGGGTCAGGGAAGAAGAAGGAAGGGATATTGGGGCAGAGTAAGTTGATGGGACTTCAAGAGAGTGTTAATGGTGGTGATAATTGGGATAGTACATCTACTGGATGTGGAGGAGGACAGTCCAGGGAGGTCAGTCCTAATTTGCAGGCAAGGACCAGTTTGCAAAATGGGGAGTCATCTAGTGAAACTGGTATGGTGTTTTTCTTTTCCGTAAAGGTTCACTGATGTTACTTGCTTATTTCTTACTAGTTACAGTTTTGAATGTTGTGTATTGCTTGCTTTTACATGTTTATTACTTTTGGTATTGCTCGCATATCTGGTCTTTTGAAGCGTATTTGACTAATTGGAAAAAAAATGTTTAAGCGTGACATCTTTTTAGGTGTTTAGTCAGGGATGACTTGGTGAATGTCGGATATAATTGTTTCCACAATTTAGTTGTCTCTGTGTGAAGCGATGATTAAAAGATGATAGAGACTAGGTGATGCACTTTTCTTAGGAGAATTTGTTGATGTCTGACAATTTTTGGGGTGTTTAGTGGTGGGTGGCTTGGTGAATGGAGGCAAATGGCAATTTAAACAATGGAATCGTTTATGAAGGGCATGATGATGGAAAAATGATGAGAGACTGCAATGGGCTAGAAAGAGGATTTCTATCCTGAAAAAAAAAAAGGATATTTTTTTGATCAGGACATCTGTGAACCCTAAGTCTCATACTTGTTCTTGTTAATCCCCTTTTGACTCTTCTATAAAATCACCTGAAGCAAGATCTAACCCCTTACATTCTCAAAGCATAGAAGGTAGGTGACATTAATGAGGAATTGTCTAGAGAAGCTGGGAGAGGTCATCTTTCATTTAACTATTCAATTGCAGCAGAACTGGAGTTAAAGTTTGTCAATTTGCTGGGAATTCAGGCTTTTGCTTAAATTGTCAAGAAGTTGGGATGCTGTACATAGTGGGGGCCTAGGCTGCTATGTTTTCATAGGAAATGGGAAGTGATGCTGTATGCTGAAAAAACAGTGTTTGCAGTTGCATTGGCCTTGCTTTTCTTTTTGTTATATCTCCATTGATAAAAGGATCATCCGTGGAACGTTGTCTGGAATTCATACCAGTTTAAAGTTTGTAATGCAGAAATGGTTTCTGCTCCTGGAATGTTTTAACTCACAGGCAATGTTGTTTATGTCTTTCCTCTCAAAAATACATTTCTGATATTTTGTTACTATAATAGGTCGACATAATTCATCATGGGGTCACTCTGGAGGCTTGCGAAGCTCAGATGCTTTTACACCTGAGGTACTGAAAGGATTTTGATTGATATTCTCAGTGAATTCACTTGTCTTCTACTCATTTACTTGGTCTTCTGTTAGTTTTCCTCACAATGTTGTTTAATGTTTGTTTTTCTAGACTTATGATTGCGACAACCCAAAGGAGTCTGAATCTCCCAGGTTTCAAGCAATACTCCGCGTGACAAGTGCCCCTAGAAAGAGGTTTCCTTCTGATATCAAAAGTTTCTCCCATGAATTAAATTCCAAAGGTGTACGACCTTTCCCATTTTGGAAGCCTCGAGGGCTAAATAACTTGGAGGTAGCATATTGATTTGTGTTATATCTCCTCCAGCTGATGCTATTTGCTCTAGGAAGTTTGCCTCCTAATTAATTTTCTTGTTTTGTACAGGAAATTTTGGTTGTCATACGGGCAAAATTTGACAAAGCAAAGGAAGAAGTTAATTCCGACCTGGCTATCTTTGCAGCGGATCTGGTTGGAATTCTTGAAAAAAATGCAGATATTCATCCTGACTGGCAGGAAACTATTGAAGACTTGTTGGTTTTGGCTCGGAGTTGTGCTATGACATCACCTGGAGAGTTTTGGCTTCAGTGTGAAGGTATAGTCCAAGAATTGGATGATAGACGCCAAGAACTTCCACCAGGAATGCTGAAGCAGCTCCATACCAGAATGCTTTTCATCCTTACAAGGTGTACCAGATTATTGCAATTCCACAAAGAAAGTGGGCTGGCTGACGATGAAAATGTTTTCCAGCTTCGTCAATCTAGGGTTTTGCATTCTGCAGATAAACGCATTCCTCCAGGCGTTGGTAGGGATGGGAAAATTTCTAGTGCTGCAAAGAAGGCAGCTTCGGCAAAGAAATCATACAGTCAAGAGCAGAAAGCTGCGTCAGTGAAGAAATCATATAGTCAAGAGCAGCGTGCTTGGAGCAGAGAACAAGATATACAACCAGGAAAATTGCTCTCTCCTGCTGACAGCACTCGGAAGATTAACGAATCTCCTACAGGCAGGGATCGGATGTCTTCTTGGAAACCACTCCCATCTCCTCCTGGAAAAAGCACAAAGGAAGTTGTTCCTTTAAAGGAGCAGAATGACAATAAGAATGAGCCTTTGAAATTGCCAAATGACAGGAAAGGAGCTTTTGATGGGCTTCTGGCTGCTGCTAAGGCTTCTGAGTTTCCACTGGTCAAAGATTTGCATGAACATTCTACAAAGCACCAACACAATGGTTCTTGGGGTAACTGGAATGACCAGGACGAGAGTTCAATAATTTGTCGGATTTGTGAGGAGGAAGTTCCAACTTTACATGTAGAAGAACATTCAAGAATCTGTGCAATTGCAGATCGATGTGATCAGAAGGGTCTAAGTGTGAATGAGCGCTTGGTCAGGATTTTTGAAACTCTTGAGAAGATGATAGAAACCTTTGCTCAGAAGGATATCCACGGTGCAGTGGGAAGCCCAGACATGGCAAAAGTATCAAATTCCAGTGTGACTGAAGAATCTGATGTTAACTCTCCAAAACTCAGTGATTGGTCTCGGAGAGGGTCTGAGGACATGCTTGACTGCTTTCCTGAAGCTGATAATTCTGTTTTTATAGATGACATGAAGGGTTTGCCATCCATGTCATGTAGAACCCGTTTTGGTCCCAAGTCTGATCAAGGAATGGCCACATCGTCAGCTGGTAGCATGACTCCTAGATCTCCATTATTGACACCAAGGACCAGTCAGATAGACTTGCTTTTGGCAGGGAAGAGTGCCTTTTCTGAGCATGATGACCTTCCACAGGTTCTTGTCTTGTTTACTTTATTTCTTCCTATTGATAAATGGGTCATTGGTCCTTGAAATCAGCATCTTCAAGGAAAAATGGGTTAACCATTGTGTTTTAAGAGTTCAAAGAACTAAGTACTCTTTCACTATAGAGAGGGTGTCTTATTGGCATAACTTGGCTTTCTTTTTATATTGAAATTTCATCTTAAATATTTGTCATCTTCTAAATGCAATATGAAGTTCTTTGTAATTGTGTATGCTTTCAGAGGGAACAAAACAAGAAAATGTGATAATTTAAGGCAGCTCGAAGTACCTTAAATACTTGAAAGACAGATTCTTTGTGGCCTTAATGAAGTTCTCACTGATATGAATCAATTAATTTTTGTTTTAAGTTAATTTTTTTTAAGGTGTCTAAGCTAAAAGTCCTTATATATGATGCAGCTGAATGAACTTGCTGATATTGCAAGATGTGTGGCAACTACACCTCTAGAGGATGATCGCTCCATTCCCTATTTGCTAACCTGTCTTGAAGACTTGAGAGTTGTCATTGACAGGAGAAAATCTGATGCGCTTACAGTGGAGACTTTTGGGACACGAATTGAGAAGCTTATTCGGTGAGTATTATGTGCAATGTTTTTGCGAAAGAACATCCATGAATTATGAAGTTTGAATTTCGCTTTCCAGTGAAATTTAGTGTGCACTTTTGGAGAATTTCCTCAAATTTGAATTTTGATTGAAAGTTCATTGATTGCTGCTTTGTTCTTCCTTGTTGGTGTGCAGAGAGAAGTATTTGCAGCTTTGCGAGCTAGTGGATGATGAAAAGGTTGATATAACAGGTACTGTAATTGATGAAGACACGCCTCTGGAAGATGATGTTGTTCGAAGCTTGAGAACAAGTCCCATACATTCTTCTAAGGATCGAACCTCCATAGATGACTTTGAGATAATAAAGCCAATAAGTCGTGGTGCCTTTGGACGGGTGTTTTTAGCTAAAAAGAGAACAACAGGAGATCTTTTTGCCATAAAGGTATCAATGTTAGATGTTGTGGTTGTAATTTCTTTTTCTGTTCTTTGACTTTTTGCTTCATTACATTTTACTGTTTGCCTTTTTTCTTTGAAAAAAATATCCTTTGATTGGATTAAATTTATGCAAATGTGTTTTCAATCAACTATATTTTGGGGCTTGTGGGACCTTGTTGTCAAGTGTCCTTCTCAACTCTTGCAGAAAGAGATCACGAATAGCCCTGCTAAAGCAGATTTCTTTAACTAAGATGGAGCAGGGTGAGATCATGGTACTGTAGTTAGGCCTGGCGGGTGTTGTGTGAAATAAGAAACAGTGTTTTTGATGTGTTGATGGTGGCCCTTCAAGTTCATATAAAGAGCAAGATCAGACAAAAAAATGTCTTGAATTCCAGCAGAAATATGAGCACTTTTTATGGAGAATTTTAAGGAAACTATGTGATTTGACTTTGAGGGCTGGCATTCATAATGATGTTTGTTTCAAGAGTTCCAAATGACAAAGCTTCCTTTTGTCAATACCTTAACTACTGTGTCTTAATTAATGATGTTTACAGAATAGTTGGCATTTTAGACAAAATACCTATGCAGACATGTCTGTGTTTGCAAAACTTTTGTTGTGGATGTTAAGCAGCAAGTGAATGGTTCTTCTTATTGATTTTCCTATGCTTGTCTTTTTGTCAACAGGCACTAGAAAGGGAGTTAGATCTGAGTTAATTGTGTACTTTGCATTTGCAACAGGTTCTTAAAAAGGCTGATATGATCCGCAAGAATGCCGTTGAAAGTATACTAGCGGAACGAAATATTTTAATTACAGTCCGCAATCCCTTTGTGGTGAGCAGGTCTAGCTGCAAAGCATTTTGGCATGCATGAGAAATTCCTTTTCCATTCTAACATAAATGTGTAATTTTTCAGGTTCGCTTCTTCTATTCATTTACTTGTCGTGAGAATTTGTATCTTGTGATGGAGTATTTGAATGGTGGTGATTTGTATTCATTGTTGAGAAACATGGGTTGCTTAGATGAAGATGTTGCTCGTGTATACATTGCAGAAGTTGTAAGTTTTAGTTTTTTCTTTTTTCCTTTGCAAATACTTTCACTGCTTGTGGTGCAGTTTGTAAATCTGATTATTATTGCTTTTAAGGTGCTTGCTTTGGAATATTTACACTCACAGCGTGTAGTTCATCGAGATTTGAAACCTGATAATTTGTTGATTGCACATGATGGGCACATCAAGGTAACACCATTTTTTTTTTTTAACTTCTCCTGCTATTTCTTTTAAACATCTAGGCATCTACACTTTTTATTGCACATATTTTGTTTCTCCTTTGACTTTGTTCTGGTATTTAATTTCTAGATGCCCTTGTCTGACTAAGGTGTGCATTCTTTGTAAACAGCTGACGGACTTTGGTCTTTCCAAGGTTGGTCTCATCAATAGCACTGATGATTTATCTGGTCCAGCTGTTAGTGGGACATCCATGCTCGTGGATGATGAACCTGAACTATCTACTTCTGAGCATCAACGAGAAAGGCGGAAGAAACGTTCTGCTGTGGGTACACCTGATTATCTGGCACCAGAGATACTTTTGGGAACGGGACATGGTTTGTATACCTTGTTTTAATTACAATTGCATTTATTTTTATTTGTCTAGTGATGCAACATAGTTAAACAAAAGTATATGTTTGGTGATTCTGAAAGGCACCTTGGCTATGCTAACCTTTTTGTTTAATTGCATTTAAATGCCTGAAACAATAAACTGTTCTGTACAATTTTCCTCAGGAACAACTGCTGATTGGTGGTCTGTAGGTGTTGTTTTATTCGAACTGATTGTTGGTATTCCACCCTTTAATGCGGAGCATCCCCAGGTTATCTCGCTGCTTCTATCTGCTGTCTTGTTCTGAATTTTGTTGCTATGCTTTCTCTTCAACTTTTCTCTTGGTGAATTTTTTTCATTCTATTTCTTTTGCATACTTCAGTCTATCTTTGATTTTTTTTGTATTGTCTAAACAATGAGTCAGTGGCCTTTTCATGCTCAGGATTTATGAACCGAAAAGTCTTTTCAGACCTTGGTGAAGAAGGAGCAATAATGAACGTTCTATTTAACTTTTAATATTGACTTTGGCATGTTTAAGCTTTTAAAAGACTTGAATGGTTCAGACAGCGTACGATGATATCCTGATTATCATGCTACCACATTTTTTTTTTTTTTGTGATGGGAACTTCCCTCTCACAACCACCTGTGAGAAATGAGAGTTGCGTTTGACCTTATTTTGTTAGCCAGTTGATATGCTGCATTTATTGATTAGTCTTTTCTTGCAGTGTTGCAGCATAGGGATGTAATTACAATTTGATTGAATTTGTATCAGGGGTAAAACAGTAATTTTAATAATTCTGTGTGATAGTATATCACTAGTTGAAATTGGGAAGTACAAAGTATCTTCTACTACGGAAGATTTAAGGTTTTTTTTTTTTGGGTTAACAATAGTAGTGCATTCTCATTCTTAAGTTAAAGTCCGAAATTAGATTTAGGAGTGAGTGTCTTCTTAAACATCTTATATGATCTTTCCATAGGTGGAATGCAATATTTTCAGAGAATTTTCCAGACTATGATCTTTATGATTGTGAAATGCAATCAATTTTAGGTCTGACTCCTAGGAACGGAGGTGTGATGCTTAGGTTTCATTTTCTAGATGTTATTCCTAGAACTTCTTTACATTCTAATATTAAGTTACTGCAGAAAAATTTCAGCAACTAGACTTCGATTATTTGAGCTACACAAACACTAGTATTCCTTCCAGCACCATGCATCCATCCTAAATTCAATTTACAAACTTTGAATTCCTTTTTTCTTTCACTATAGTGTATTTGTGGAACTGAAATTTAGTTATGTTCTGTGTCCTGTAGTGGGTTTGGCATTGGGTTAAAATTTGCTTGGAGTCAGTAACAAGAGGAGAGGATGAGAAGTCCTAATTCGCATTTCATACTCAAGTTCATGATAAGTGCAGGGGGAAGGTGTTGAATGAATAGCTACAAGTAGGGAGTAGATGCGACAGATTCTGAGAAAATCCGATTTGTCAGATAATTATTTTAAGACATAAATTAGAACAGTTCTCCATAGCTGACCTCGTTTGATCATCACTTACGAATATACTGATTTTGAGGAAATACAAAAACTTGAAAAAGGTTATTACACGGCGATTCTTTTAAGAAGGCACTGGGAACCTTGATAGTAGCATGTAGGTTAAATATGGATCTTTATGACATATGGAAACAGTCTACTAAGGTAATGAGTTGAACTTGAAGACAATTGGACACAATTACAGCTGCTAATAACACAAACTTTTATTGGGGCAATAAATTTGGCTTCAACAATATTACTGGTGCTCTGCTTAAATTTTAAATTATAGGGGTAGAAATGGAACATCCATGAATCTATAGGGGAAAAAAAGTTATCCAATTTTTAATTTTCTGATGAAACTGTTAGAAATTGTTGCTTTACAATGGTTGGTGATACCTGACATAATGTTGGATGGAGATTGGCTACTAATTTAAGCCTTTGCTGGCCTGAGATGTTAGCTTGTGACGATTCATAAAGATGTGCGTGGGTGGCTGATAATAGTCCATGACAAGTTGTGTAGCTGTCCATACTTTTGAACTGCTGTGTTTCCATGTTAGGTTCCTCTGCTGCCTGACTGTCCCTATGCGGAATTGGCATCTATTTACATGGCGGACATGGGTCAGGGTTGGTTGCAAAATTGTTTCAAACACTTGGTCGTACAGATAAAGTCAAATATGTTAGTAGGTACTCAAGTGCATGGTAATTTGGATCATTTGGTGTAATACAATTACCTTCTTTCTTTTGCTTAATCAAGTAAAATTAAGAGCCTTCAAATCATCTTGGGACATAGCTTGTGGGCTTTGGAATGCCATTCTGGAAATTTATTTAGTTCTCAATTATTGCCTGCAATTCCTTTCGTAATTTGTAGTTTTTTTTTTCATTGATTTGCATTTTAAATTTCTGTTCTCTTTCTATTGCTGCATTCTTATGTATTTTTTTTTTTTTTGCTTCTAGATAATATTTGATAATATTCTCAACCGTAACATACCTTGGCCCCGGGTGCCTGAAGAAATGAGTCCTGAAGCACAGGATCTAATTGATAGGTAAAGAGAGTTTGTCTAGTTATTTTAAATGGCTAGTCAATTAATGCCCGTACTGAAATGTGTACTTTATCTGATTGATTTTTTCATCATTGGTGATAAGGATGCTTCCATATCAACTGATTTGCTGTTAAATACAATCCCTTGGGATTGTTTTGGTATTTGATGAGACCTGAGTTTGGGAATTTTGTTATCTATTTTGTATTCAGCAGATCTTTATTTGCATGATATAATGTAAATTGGATGATAGATATCTTTTGGTCTAAAGTGACTTGTACTATCTGTCTCCAGATTATTAACTGAAGATCCTCATCAGAGACTTGGAGCTGGTGGAGCATCAGAGGTAAACTTAGCATGTATTTCTAGTTTTTATTTTCATCCTGTTCATATTCATGTGTGTATTTACCTTGAACTAATAAAAGCAGAACTTGTGATCCAGGTGAAGCAGCATGTATTCTTTAAGGATATCAACTGGGACACACTTGCCAGGCAGAAGGTGTGATTGTCTTCCACGAGCATAAATATGAACTTTGCCAGTCTTACAACATGGGTTATAGATTGACTCCCTTTTTTGCATTTGCTATCTTTCAGGCTGCATTTGTGCCCAGTTCAGAGAGTGCATTGGATACTAGCTACTTCACAAGTCGATACTCATGGAATACTTCAGATGACCTAATATATCCAGCCAGTGACTTTGAGGATTCGAGTGATGCTGATAGCTTGAGTGGAAGCAGTAGCTGCTTAAGCAATCGCCATGATGAAGTGGTATTGTGTCCTAAAATTTGTTCAAACTTGGGAAATTTGTATGTTGTCCCCTGCATATTTTGCAAAAGTGACTCACTCTTGGGCCATAATGATGAACAGGTAGATGAATGTGGAGGTCTTGCTGAATTTGAGTCTGGTTCATGTGTTAATTACTCCTTCAGCAATTTTTCTTTTAAGGTATTTCCATTCCTCTAAGCTGGATTAACTTCTCCTTGGTTTATCCCTAATCTGAATGTTTGAGTTGCTTTTGGCAAGTAAAGTTTTTTTTGTTTTCCTATTCTTTATTGATTTTTTTTTCCCTTACAGTCTTTCAATATTTGGTTCGTAAATTTAGATTATGGTAAAAATTAATACACCCATCTGGAAATGATGGTTTATTTAGAAAACTCAAGACAAAATTTTCATCTGTTACAACATAAAAATAAGATGAGAACCTAAAATATTTCCTTATATACTCCTTTGATCATAATATGTGGTGATTTTATGGCTTTAGGCTGAACTGATATGAAATCAAATGTGTTTATGAATGATAGATAATTATGTGCACAATTGAGGGAAGATTTATAGCTAACTAGTGGCTGTTCCCTGTTAAAATGCTCTGAAGGGAAAGAATTTTTCATCGTGCTTCTAAATAGTGTTTCGCACATGGATTATTTGTTCTGAGTTAATTCAGCAATTATTTAATATGATCTATGATGTCATTTAGCATATAGCTTAAATTTAATGTGGCAGGTCATTGCAATATTTTCCCCCAATATTTATTTCTCTATTTTTTATGGGATTATTTATGCCGTATATTTGTTCCTGTACCAGTGTGTTGTATCAATGGCTGTATTCTCACATTTTTCTATTTTCCCTTGGTTTTAGAATCTCTCCCAGCTTGCATCAATCAACTATGATCTTCTCTCCAAGGGTTTGAAGGACGATCCACCGACGACTAATTCATGACCATTTATCTCCTTGGTTAAAAGCCAGAAGAATGGTGTTCCTTGACATTAAATCACTTTGAACATTTTTGGGGTTTCTGATTTGGCAGTATTGTTTATATACCCTGTACATGTAATTACTCTAGTTAGTGTTTTTTTGCCCCACATTACATATTTTCATTTGTTGACTGATCTATCATATGGTAATTTTATTTATTTTTTATTCTTGCAGACATAGAAGAAAAGTTGAAGACTGAAACTGCTTCGGGATGTGCTCTTTACTCAGTGTAGGTAATAGATTCACATTATTGGGTTCAATTTTATTTGTTTAGTTGAGCTGAGGAACATAGAATGCTATAATTTAGATGCCAGTGTTGGTCTACACTCTTGATGTGCGGTGTATTTTTTTGTGATTTTCGCCTCGTATCAATGAAAGAACACATCCCCATGTTTTAAGTTCAGTGTCATATGATTATCAAACTTGCAAGTTTTTTTGTTGTACTGTAGTTTAATCCAAGACAGATCAGAAGTCGAGTGCACATTACCCAGTTTAGATCGGCCCATATTTATCGTTATTAGTATGAATCTCTGGTTAAAACTATCAGTCCTCAACTCCTCACACCTTCTTTTTCCTCATGGTACTCTTTGCCTGATCTGCTAGTGCATCTCTGATGCATGGAGAATCAAAATGTGGGCTTTATTTTTGGAAATGAGAACTGGCTCTGCATCCTCGTATTGATGATCTACTCGAACCTTGAACGTAAAAGTTATTTCACAAAGGTGTGATAACAATTAACTCTCGCCTGCTTATTTTTAAATCATGCCATTAGACTCAAAAATTCTTTTCCACAGGAAAAGATACCAGAAATGGCTGCAATACAAACAACCTTGACATGTCAAAATGATGCTCATAATTAATGGTTGAGAAATCAGTTGTCTTAAAGAGTTTCTGTACTGACAAGAAATATCAGACATGAAACTAACTTGTGGGGTATGCTATACTGACAGAAAAAGAAATGCTATGGTTGCAGCTAACTATAGTTTTCAATCTTATAATTGTCAAAGCAATCTTATAGTTAATAACTACAAGCCCTGAGTAGAGCTGAAGTCAAGCTACCTTCTCAAAAAAGATAAAGATAGAAAAGTAACGTCCAGTTGCATAAAATCACCATGGCAGATCGTCAGTCCAATGACAAAGAGAGGACAGACAAGTTTATTTTGATTAAAAAAAAAAAAAAATGTCTAATGCACATAAAAGATGGATTAGAAAATTGGGGTATTGACGGGATAAATTTTAGTTTTAGAAGGTCAATATTTACTGTTGTGAAATAACATAACCCGTAAAAGTTAGGGTGGTTTGATTTCTTAGAAGCATTTTGGTATCATTTTTATTTTAATAAACGTAAAAACAAAAATAAAAAATGATACAGCACCACTCCTTGGTTATCGAGTTTTAGGTTAAATTTGATTCCTCGTTGGAATGGTTACTTTTATAATAATAATAATAATTTTTTTTTGTGAAACGGGAGAACCAATAAATTTTGGATAACCCATTTCAATTTTCAAATCCACATCATCACAATGAAATTTGAATCTGATCCTCCAATCGAAGAAAGCATTCTAGCTTTTATGAAATGAATTTGTCAAATATCTCTCACGAAATGATGTTTTTTTTTTTTTTTTTTTTGCCTTGTTTGAAGATGATATGTATATTCAAACTAATTTAAACATCAATGAAGTTAAAATTTTGCTTTCATTCTATTGAGATTTAGCAATTTCAGACATTTAGTATCAAATTACGTAATTCGAAATATAAATTATTGATTTTTGGGCAAAATTGATTCAATTTTCCTAATTGTCATTATATGTAACGATCAACTAGATTGACCATTACTTGGAATGTCAAAACGACGTTATTTTAGCATTCCGTTGTTAATATGTTTTTTTTTAAAAAATATTTTTAACTTGTTTAATCTTGAATTTTTTAAATTTTTTCTTATAATTTATAAAATATTTTTTTAAGGCATGAAATTGTGTATTGTTAATTATGTTTTTTTATAAAATATTTATAATATTCAATGAGCATAATTAAGGATTGACCCTCCTAATTTTATAAATTATAAAAAAAAGGTTCAAAATTAGGGGTTAAAATATTTATAAAATATTTTTTGTAGATAACTTATAAAATATTTTATAAGAAAAATTTTTTTAAAAAAGTTCAAAATTAGGAGAGTTAAAAATATTTTTAAAATGTTTTTTTTAATTTTTTTTAACTGTCGTTATATAACGGTCAATTGAGATGACCATTACTTAGAATGTCAAAACGACATAGTTTTAACATTACACTATTAATTATGTTTTTTTATACTCAAAAATCAAAGTTTGGGATTCAAATTACGTAATTTGATACTAAAGATCCGAGATTATCAAATCATAATAGAATGGAGGTAAAATTTTAAAATTTTATTTTTGAACAATTTTAAGGACGCACATTTTCTGTCAATTTAGTGCATGAAAAAAAAATTATTATAAATACTGACTTTAAAATAAAAAAATTAAAATTCTTCTAAACACTGACTTTAAAATAAAAAAATTAAAATTCTTCTAAACACTGACTCTAAATTTAGGATGTTTTAGTTTGGCATAAGATAACACCAAGTGAGAAAGACAAGAGGGGAAGCTATGGAGGCTGCAAGATTAGGCATTGGATGCTGCAATTTCTAAAAGGTCCATCTTTTAGTAATTGTTGGGCTCATTCTGCTTGGAAGAGCGTTCAATTTTTGTATCATGTATCAAAAAATTAGTGCATTCGTCCTACTCTACAGTCTGCACACTTAAAAACACAGTTTCTGAAGAAAGACGAAGAATAGGACAGCAAAAGGCAATGAGACAAACAAATCCCATTTAGAAAATATAGAAGGTCCATCTATTCCTACGCCTCTTCCTTTTTATAATCTTATTGAGAAAGAATTCCAAGTTCTTGAGGCTTTGGATGCCTACAAAGTCCAACAGTAATCCCATCTCATAAATTGGACTACAATATCAGACTGCTCTACTTTTTACAGCTGACCCCTCCATTTACATGCAATGCTTTGGTCCACCACGAAAGCTTTCATCATCATAAATGCAGTTGACACTTTTTGAAGTTGGAAAGCTTGATTTGATTATAAATATCCACAAATCCAACATAGGAACCCACCAATAGCTGCAATTTGAATTATTTCAAACATATACTCTTTATCTGTAGCAAGACTTTAAAAAAAAAAAAAAACAATACAGAAGTCCAGACCTTTAAATACTCTTATCTGTAGCAAGACTTTTAAACAAAAAAAATACAACAGTCCAGACCTTTAAACCAACAAAAAAATATAACAAAAAAAAGGCAAATGAAAAGAAAATTGCAATGCCATGAAAAGCAATTCAGATGATAAAACCTTTCCTCGCTCAATCAAGTTTTTATAACTTGAAATGTTCAAACAACTCCTTAGGTATAAAGATAGCTGATTAGGGTTTTGGCAAAGAGAGGGGACATTACTAGTGATTTAAGTGTAGCACAAAAAAAATAGACTTTATCAACGAGAGATGGGTGAGAGTCACCTGAAGAAATATTAGAAAACCTTTCAAGGCAACCAAAACATCTCGATCTAAACAGATAAAAAGCTGCATCCAAAGCAAAAGAAAAAGTAAAAGCAAGAATAATAATTACAACCACCACCCCCTCCACCCAACAACAAGAAATAGAACAGATATCCACACCACAAAATTAATGAAAAAAAGAAAAATTAGTACAAAGGGGATGAGGGGGGCGAAAAAAGAACGGGACAGTTGGCTCCTAATGAAAGACAGACCAGGTCAAACATATGATCAAACACCGGAATAAGCAAGATAATAATGGGCATAAACAAGCAAGGATGATCCTTCTACAATACATGGTGTGATGTGGCCAGTTCATCGAGATGAGTTATCATCTGCATCATTGATTGGTTCAGGCCGCGGGTTATGATCTTCCGGCAGACTAGACCGGCATAGCTCGTCGATCCTCCTAGTTACTTCGGACATTGAAGGGCGATTGTCAGGGTATTGGGCAGCACAATCTATGCCAAGCTGCAAGAGCTGAACCATCTCTTCCTCAATGTTCTGATATCTGAGGAGCTCAAGATCGAACACCTCTGATGTCCATTCCTCTCTAACTATAGACTGAACCCATCTGGGAAGGTCTACGCCCTCCTCGTTCAAAAGGGCATGGGTGGGAGCCTTCCCAGTCAGCAGCTCCAACACCAATACACCAAAGCTATAGACATCAGCCTTCTGGGAAACCTTTCGAGGGTCAGTTACCTCTGGTGCTCGGTAACCTGCAACTCGGTTAGGAGTAGAGGGAGGACCAACAAGGTGCGCAAGCCCAAAATCAGATACTCGGGCATCATATGAATGAGTGAGAAGGATATTGGATGACTTGATGTTTCCATGGGAAACATTGGGACCTTGAGAGTGTAGGTATTCAATGCCACGGGCAGCTGCAAGGGCAATCCCAGACCTGATTTCCCAGTTCAATGGAGTCCTACCAGCTCCCCTGTTCCCTGTGGTAAAATGTAAGAGAAGAATGATAGTAAAGATAAGGCTAATGAAGCAGAACACATACACCTATCGAGTTTATCTTTCATCTAATGAGAGAATTTATAAAGTCGATATATTTTTAAATTTCATGGCCGAGAATCATTTTTCTTTATCAAACCAAAGCATGTCCAGATTGTTCACCAACAAAATATAAGAAGGTTATAAACCACAAAATTATTGCTTGCATACAGGACAACTCAATTGTCATGCAAACTAGATAAAAGGGAACGTATAACTAGATAACTCCTACTGAAGAGAATAATTGAGATCATGTATTGTTGAGTTGAAGTAAAATTCAAACAAGAAATGACAAAAAATGCTGACTTCTACTCATTTAGCATTTCCTGCTTGGTTGTGCAAAAGAAAAAAAAATATATGCAAATCTAAGCACAGCCGTGGGGAAAAGCTTTAGAAAGGAAAGCTAAATAACAAACAAATAACCCCAGAAACTCCTTGCCGATGCAAAATAATGGAGGCATGTATAAACAAACCATTTAGACAATTAGAAAGAAAACATATTATTTGCTAATTTGACTCAGTTGATCGTTATCCTGGCGGATGGATTCGGTTCAAAAGACCACCATCGATATCAGATACACACGAAAAGATAAACATAATTCTAGAAGAAAAAAATCTGTAGTAATTATCTCCAAAGGTGACGCACCATAGAAATCTCAGCAATCATTCACCAATATGCAAAATCCAAAAAGTGAGAACATTATATGAACCAACCAAAAAGCAACAAAAATATCAGAACCAAAAATTGAGAATTGCTCACCATGCAAAAGTGCAGACAAGCTTCCCATTGACATGTAATCATAAACAAGAAGCTTCTCATCTCTGCTATAATAGTAAGCTCTCAACGGGACCAAATTTTCATGATCCATAGCACCCACAATCTCAATCTTCTCCCTAAATTCTCCCTCAGAAATCGTCACATCCTTCAACCTCTTCACAGCCACCACAGTCCCCATCTCCAAGACTGCCTTATAAGCTGTCCCAAATGTGCCTTTCCCCAATACCTCTGCAGAGGCTCTCAACAAATCTTCCAAATCAAACACCCTTGATGCCTTACCGAAAAACACCAACTTTTTAGCACCACCACTATTCAAGTCCCCACCTTTACCATTACCCACCATTGCAGCCGCCGCGGCAGAAGCCACAGAATATCCATTTCCATACCCACCACCAGTTTCCGCCTCCACAATTGGCTTCTCACCTTGAATCTCCATCTCTTGTTGCTTAATCGATGCAATGTCAATCGATCTTGACTTACTACTACTATTCTTTCTACACAAAAACATCAAAATCAAAGCAATCAACAATAACCCCACTATAGATCCAATCACAATACCTGCAATTGCACCACCGGACAACTTCTTTTTCTTACCTTCTCCAACCCCATTTGGTTTACTAGGCACCACAATACTCCCACTGCTACCATCACAATTAGCAAGAGGCTTCCCACATAAAGAGGTACCCCCAAAAGAACTAGGCCCAAAACCCTTAAATCTATCAGGTATAGACCCATTTAACAAATTATTACTCACATTAAACTGCTTTAACTTCTCCAACTTCAAATCTGGCAATGGCCCGGATAATGAATTATCCTCTAAAAACAAAGTCCTTAACCTCGTAAAATTGTCAAACCCGGATGACATCTCACCAGTAAAATTATTCTCACCAAGGTTCAACCTCACAAGATCTTTCAAACTAAACAAGAAATCAGGAATCTCTCCAGAGAAAAGATTCCCTTGTAAATAAAGATTTCTTAAACTTTTGCAATTAGCAAGATCTTGAGGTAAGTTTCCAGTAAGTGCATTAAGCCTAAGACTCAAAGTGCGTAATTCTGTCAAGTTTGAGAAAACTCCAGATGGGATTTCTCCGGTGAGTGCAAAACCAGGAAGCCGGAGAACTGTGACGCGGTTTTGTTCACAAATGACACCAGTCCATGAACAAGGGTTCAGCAGTGAAACGTTCCAGAGGAGTGTTCGGCCGTGCACGGCAGAACGGAGGCTGAGAAGGGCTGAACGGTCGGCTGAGAGATCTGGTTTCGAATAAGGTAAAGAGATTAGTAACAGAAGGAGGTGAAAAAGGAGGAGACTTTTGGTCTCCATTTTCTGGAAGTTTGGATTTTCGGAAGGCAAAGTTCGGATTTTTGAAGGGAATGTGAAATGGGGGATGATGAAGTTGGGATTTTTATTGAAGGGAATGGGTAATGTGTAGGATTGTGGTAGTGAATAGTGATAATGTGGGTTTTGTTTCAGGTCTTTTTCAGGTTTTTGGGTGGTAGAAGAAGATAAACAGACATTGTTTGGAGAGAGAGACAGAGATTGGGTTGGGGTTAGTGTCAGAAAAGAGAGAGAGAGAGAAGCAAAAAAGGAAACCCTAGCTGTTTTATGTAACTGGTGAGAGTGAGAGTATTGAAGGGCGTGAAGTGAAGTGGTTGTTGCTGCTGGTAAGGTGTTAGGGTACTCAACCGTTTTTGTTTTCTTCTTTTTTCTCCCTTTATTTCTTCTCTTTCTGTCTGAAGTAAATTGTGGAGTGTAGAGAGGGGAGGATATTGTTTGTTTTAAATTTGTCTTTTTTGTTTTTGTTTTTGGGATATGTGTTCAAATTTCGAAGTCAGAGTAAGAATAATAATATCATGTCTATATAAAAGACAATTACAACTTTGAACAATATGAAGATGGTTAAGGTCAAAGGATAATGATTTTTTTTAAAAAAAAAATCATTAATGCAATTTTTTTTCTTAAGAATTTGTGCTTAATTATGAGAGATCTTACCATAGTTGTCGGAACTGGTCCAAACTTGGACAAGAACTTGAGGTCATCGGGTCAATCTATTGGATCATAGGTTGGTTCAATGGATCCATAATATATGAAAATTTACATGTTGGTAGAGTTTATTTTTAGCCTTGTCAAGAAGATGGTTGGAGCTATGGCAAATGATCGGGTTTTGAATGAATCCATTGGATTTTGACCAGATTATTCGGATTTGATTCGGATCAATTTCTTATCTAATTCAACTTCAAATCCAACTTGAATTAACTCTTGAATCATTGAATTTTTTTATTTATGAACTCATGAGGTATGTCCGAGTATGATGTTAAGAGCAGATCACGAGACTAACATGATGAAATTTGTGCAATTACTTTTTTTTTTTTAACAAGACAGGAAAATAGGGATATATCTCAACCTATAGGAGTTGTTGTTGCTTCTATTGTTTAATTTCATATCATTGATGATTAGTTTTAAAAAATTCCAATAAAAAGACAGAAATTCATGTTTATAAATTGTCTGGAGTGTCATGCTCTAACTAACATGTCCATCCCATCATATTTCATGAAATTGTTTTGTTTGCCTCTTTTATCTTTGGAGTCATGTTTCCAAAAGTTCTTCTTAACCATGGTTTTTTTTAACTTAACAAATTCTTTTTTTTTCCTCATCAAAAAAAAAAAAAATCATTAATATTAAAAATAATACATAATCATTCCAATTTTTTTGTAAGAATAAAAAAAAACCTTAATAATCAATCAACTCCTGTTAAAAATAAAGATAAAAACCTTAATAAATATACATATCCAACAAGCAAAATCATTAATGCAGAGGAACCTAAAACAAATGAGGTACAAGCTCTCCTTTTTTTAATCAGGGAAGCTGAACTTGCATCTTCTAGAGGAGTGGACAGCTTGAATGAGCTGTTTTTTTTTTTTTTTTTTTGAATGTATTTTAGGGTGCAAGATATCGAGTGTAATCTACTTTATGGCCATAATTAATTCGAAAAAGAACTTGATTTTAATGGTTAACTGCTTTAATTATTTTAACGCAAAAGGGCACGCTTATGGCTTTAATCACCATCAACCAACCTTGTCCATTCTCCAATATTGCAACTTCTGAAAAGTGGAAAGTGATGATAAAATATCCATTCTAAGACCGTGTCAGTTTACTAAACGTGATGTCTTGTGCTTCATCGGTTTTTTTAAAAAAAACTAATAAGTTATTAGTCCAGTAACGTTACTGATTTTTAAATTTTTTTTTTAATATTTAATATTCAAATCTTAAAATCATATTTATTGAAAATGATTAAATTTTACCGCTTCTATCCTAATAGAATTAGTTTTAATTCCAATATAATATAGGAATATCTGAGAAAAAAAAATAGAGTAAATTATAAATTAGTCTCTCCAATTTTACAAAACAAATTAAATAGTTTCTATTGTTTTAAGAATTAATTAACGATAAGCATTGGTCACAATTAATTAAATACTATTTTATTTCAAATATATCTTTTTCATATTTTATCAATCCTTTCAGTTTTTTTTAGAATAAAAATTAAAATAAATTGAAAAAAAAAACAAAAATAGTAAGTTATAAATAGCTTTTAAAACACAGAGATTAATTAATTAAATTTTGAAATCAAAAAAACTAATTTATAATTTACTTGATATAAATGAAAAGTCCCAATGGATTTATTTATTATTATTATTATTATTATTTAAAAAGGTAGCAAATGTGAACCTACCCTATCAGTCCAATTCAAATCTGCCTGTAAACATAGTCATGAGTCTGGCATTTGTATTCTAAAACCCAACATGATCCGAACCTAAAATAATAATAAAAAAATGTATTAGGTAAACCTAATCTACGGCTAGTCATTCTATTTTCTATACATTGACGGTTTGTCTAAGAATAGGTGGTTACTTGACACAACTGTTGTTTGAATTAAACGGAAAAAAAAATGGTATTATCACTTTGTATCCTAATAATATTAATTTTAAATTATAAAAAAATGATAATAAATATGTTGAGCCAAATTCTCATCTAAATCTCCTGTGAGATAAGTTTTTATATAAAAAAGACAACACATATGTAATGTGTTTACTCCATGCGAAAAGGCATAATTAAAGCTAACTGTCGTGTTTTTTTTTTTTTTTTGAGAGAATCACGTTATCTTTTTTTTTTTCAAACAAAAAAGAAATTATTATACAACAACAAGTTGTTAATTTCATTCATTTTTGACCTCAAGCCATTAACAATGTGAAAACATTATTATAATTTTATAATACACAAGAAGTAATTAGTGGCATATACAATAATTACTCTATGGGTTCACTTTGAAGAGAGAGATAGACATATAAAAAAAAAAGAGAGAAAGAAATAGGAGAGACAAAATAAAAAATTTGAACGGACGTGGAAATCTTCTTAGCACTTTTGATGGGTATAGATGTAATTTCTATCTTTTTTATTTGTCTATCTCTCTTCTCAAAGTGGACTCATAGAATAACTATCGTACATATCACTAGTTACTTTTGATGTATTATAAAATTTCTCGAATCGAGAAATTCACAATTGTGTAGATAATAAGTTTTAATAATAGTCAAATTCTTTCTTTTGAAAAAAAAAAAAAAACTCTTCAACCCATAGGTTGATCAGAATCCACCCTAACCTAGTAGGTTAGTTCATCTGAACTCAGAAATGACCGATCCAACCGGACCCAATCTACATCGGAAAACGACCTGATCCAAATCCATCTGACCAAAACCAATTGCCAGGTCTAAATTAACGAGTAAATAGATTCAAGAATTTGTGTAGCTTATGGTCGAGAGGATGAGTGCAGAGTAAATAATTCTGTTTCTTTGAATCTCAGCCTTTGATTACTGTCAAGGGAAAATTTACATTAACTGGCTATGAATTTTATTAAATATATTAATGATATTGATCCTCCTTATTTTATATAGTCTATTTACAAAACGGCAAATCAAGATTAAACCGAGATTTTTTGCACTTAAAATAAAACTCCTTTTTCTTTTTCCAATGATAGATCAATGTAGGAAAAATGACGTGGATTTTACATCTAAATCGAAACCGGTTCAAGAAAATATCACCGCTGTATAACACCCAAAGCATATGAAAGGAAGTGTTTTACAAGGAAAAAAAAAAAAACGAAAAATGTAGAGGACTAGTATGCTCTTTGTCTCTAGCAATTTATAGCTAGTTCTACTAATTTCTTTCTGTGAAATAGACTTGAGCTCTAATAACTTTAATTTATTTAGTTATTATATAATATAGGAGGATTATTTTTATCATGTAACTCAAAACCTATAAATCTTTCGATAAATCTGAAAAAAAAATCTCTATTACCATGATAAATCTTACCCTTGCTACACATTTTTGCTTAATATATCTTGGCATCGAACAATAATTTTTTTTGGAAGTAACCTATTCCATAGCACTACAAATCCATAAGAGGGGCATGAAACAAACAAACTAAATAAATAAATAAACCTTAAAATTGATAGTTTTGTAAAGAATTTTAATTTACAAAACTTAAAATTTGTTTTTAATAGTTATGTATTTAATAGTTTCTTTTTGTAAAACATGTTTGAGTCCTGATGACTTTATTTTATGTAAGGTTAAAAATGTTTAACCATTTATGAACTTTATTAGAAATCGAGTTTCTGAAATTTTTTATTGATTTTGGAGATTCCTGGACTTTTAATTTTTTTAGATTTAAGTCACCCTTCAGTTGTATGTCATTTATTTAAAAATACCAATCACAAAAATAGTTTCATGATGAAAATCATCCATTAATATTTATGTGGGGCTCCTAAAAAAATTTGAGATCGTTTTGAGGTTATTTTCTATTTTTTCTAATTTTTTATATTTTTAATGTTCAAAACATAAACAAATATAGTTTTTGAATTTGAAAAATTCTGAAATTTATCTAAAAAATAAATTGAATTTTTCTTAACGTGTGTGCAAAATTTCAGCTTAAAATGCCAAGAATTGATTTTTTTTTTAAAAAAGAAGATAATAACTGAAAATCATTTGATGGATTAAATCTAAAAAAATAAAAGTTCAAGGATCCCAAAATCAATAAAAAAATTCAAAAAATCAATTTCAAATTACTTAAAGTTTAAGAGTAGTTACTAGTTAGACTATTTTGGTCTTTATTTAATTATTATGTAATATAGGAGGACTACTCCTATTATATAACTCAAAACCTATAGATCTCCCAATAAATCCGAAAAAAAAAAAAAAGCTCTATTGTCGTGAAAAATCTTATCTTGCAATTCATTTTTTGATTAAACAATGTATATATATTTTGTGGAAAA